CGTTTTACACAGATTTAGTTTGAGTTGCCTGTTAGTCACCCACATGGAGACATCGAGTGGTTGTTGAAAATGCCCGTGTGGACCTTTGCAGAGGGGCCAAGGCTGGAGACGGGTACTGCCGGGTCATGAGCAGACCTACAGTTGTCCTTCGAGGGGCGTCTCTTTCACCTCAGCTCCCTGGAGTCAGGATTTCCTTCCGTGAGACTTCAGCTGCCCTGGAAATTCACCGACAGACCGTGGAGTTTAGGGATTTAAAGCACTGGTAGGAGTTCGTTTGTTTTGTACTCTGCTGTGTTTCCAGCTAACTGAAATGCATGATTTTGAGGTTTCACGTCAGTTTTTAATCATGCGAGAGACCCGTCATGTATCTTCTGATCATGGCCCTGCCCCTGCCAAGGGCTCCGCACACAAGGCAAGAAAACTCAGGATGTGTTGGGCTTCGAAAGTAAGAGCCGCCCAAGAAAGGGTGAAACCCGGCCCTGTGTCACGCTAACGGAGACTCTCAGGCGGATGGACCCAAGTGAGTGAACACCGTGAGGCTGTGCCCGTCTTTTCCTTTTTTTCTCCCCATAAACGTGTTATGGTTCTATCAGTTGTTACCCTTCCCATCAGTTTCTTTCATTCCTGTGATGGTTTCTTATTAAGGAGATTCACGGGGAAGGTTGTGATGGATCACAGCTGTTAGCTGCCCGAGAGTGATCTGGTTCTAGGACAAACTGACCTGCACGGTGTCCTCTCTACCTTGAGGATTTAAGCCATTAACTCGGAGCCTGGGGTGCAGAATCCAGGGTTCCGCGGCACTGCACCTGCTTCGGGCCTACCCATGCCCCCACTAAGGGATTTAACAAACTGACACCGTGATTAGCTCCAAGCCCGCTGTTAACCCACCCTGAAAGGAAGGACCTGGCTCGCCTGGGATGGACGTTTGCAGCCAGAGGAGGATGCGGCAGAATGCTGCGGTGATCCCCTCGCTGCACAGGCACCGTGCCACTGATCACCGTGCGGCTTTCCATCCCGTTTGTTGGTTGGATGGTTGGGTTTGTACCTCTTTCCAAGAATAGGTCAGTCTCATTGCTGTGGAACAAGTTAGTGATGGAATGAGATCACCACAGAGAAACAGGCAGCTCGCTGCCAGGGCTTTCCATGGCACCGTCTCAGCCTGCCTGGTGGTTTTGATGGAACCAGAGAATAAAGGGCAAGCGGGCTGCCCTGGGCTGCCCACAGATTCCCGGGGCAGCCACATCGGTTGGCCTGTCCTGTAAAGGGTACCATACAAATTAGTAGTCTCGGTCACTAACCTCAGCTTTTAAAATACAGCTAGCCACCAAGAATAGGCTGAAGACTAAGGTTAAACTAAAGATTCTTCAAGAATGATATTTTAGCTGCAAAAGCTGGCTGTCCACAAATAGCAGGAAAAACTAACTGGTATCTCACAAGGGGAGCCATGATGAGTACGTATTCCTTCCTGCGAGAGCCCCAGCCATCGCTGAGTAACAGCTTTTCCACTCTGTAGGTTGCTGTGCACCAGCTAGACGCCTCCCTCCCCAGACTCCCTCATCACTTTCTGTCTCTCACGCTGTATCTATGTCTCTCTCTATGTCTCTCTACATGTTTTGTACACAACTTACACATATATGTTTACACAGGTAATCCATGTTCATTTTAGGAAAAGAAAATACATACAAAAAGAAAAATACTGAAGACCACTCATGATTCCACCACCAAGAATAGCCACTATCTTGCTGGGTAGCCTTCTGAGCTTTGACTATGTAAATGTACAAATGTACTACATCTATGTAGATGTGCAAAGTCTGTGTGTATATAAATACATCATTACATATACAGGATCATGCTATACCTTCTGTCCAGTAGAATTCTTTTCCTGGTCAACAATAAATATGTCAGCGAATATAAAATGTACATTATCATATGACATTAGCCTATGGTATTCTATTTTAGGTAAATTCCATAATTTATTCAGATTACCTCCTATTGCTGTGAATTTGAGGTATAATGAAATTTTCTCTGCTATAAACTCTGCTTATATAAATTTTCTCTGTTAAAAACTTTCCTGTGTCAACCTATTGGATATTTTGGCAGAGGCAGGGCACAGCAATTTTTTCTCGACAACAGATACTTCACCAGTCTTAGTCATGCATTTGTGTAAGGAATAAATAGACATGGGGTTCTTAAGAAGTCACATATTTTAATATAACAGTACCTGTTTAAGAACTTCATAGCATAAATATGACCCAGCCACAAACAATACAAAGAGTAAGCCGAGCCAAAAATATATATATGTAGTGTTAATAAGGCACAGAATCCAGGTACTGGGTGGACATATAAAATGGCCTGGAAATATTTCAGGAATATAAGAGACCAAAGAACAATTAGAAACCAGGAAACTGAGAATGAGCAATAGTAATTTCCAGTTCGCCTTTGCATTTATTTTACATCAGGCGGAGATAAGTAGTGATTCCCAATTACTCCCTTCCATACCTGCATCATTTCACTGGGTGACATCAAAGTCCTCATAGATAAGTAAAGTACCAAATCAGTTTTAATAAAGTATATCCAGAATCCCCAAGCAGAAGAGACTGGACGAGGTCTCAACCAATGAGTCAGTTTGTCTGTACACACCTGTCACGTATTTGTTGAGAACCTACTACATGCCAACAAGTGGAGGTACTGGGAAAAGTAGTCCAGGCTTCCAGATCTGCTTCCAGGGAAAATGAAAACTGCCAGGGGAGTCAGGTTACTACAATTTGGGCACCACCACTTAACAATCTGGATTTCTGAATGTCTTGGAATTTTAATTTTCAAACATTTTACTGACAGGATGTCTGAACAGTGAAGAGATCCTGATCCTCCTCTCAGTTGGGCCTCTGAACCACCTGGGCAGCCATTTAAACTGCTGAGTGCTGTAAAATTAGGATGATAACACCCAACTTCTACTCTCCACTTCGTAGCAGTATTTAGGCAAGAAATGTTAATTAATAAGAGCTCTTTGAATTTCTTTGAAGCAACACGGCAACATATGGCAGGGTTAATATCGTTTGTACTTGATCATGTGGTACTTATATTAAATTTTTATAATGCTGTATTTATATTCACAGACAAGCCAACTCCCTGTTATTTATGTTTTAATATTTCTGAGCTAAGGTTGACTTCTTTCAGCACTTCAGCCCATTTTTAAGGTGGGTAGTCACTGCAAAGTGGCATGTTGGGCATTCCAGGCCATTTAATAGTTACGTCAGGAAACATCCAAGGAAGGACAACTCCAGACGACTTTCTTCTAGGCCTTTTCCCTCATCTCCTCCGCTCACTCGCAGTGGCTTTTGCTGACCCTTATGCTGCTCTTTCCTCAGCCTGCTTGCCCTTTTCACAGCTCTTCTCTCTCTTCCTTCTGCCCTGGAACATGGCCTTCCCTTCCCTCTCCTGCCCTGCCTACTCCCTTCCCTCCTCCACTGGTTTTGTGGGACTTGCTCCCCTGGCCACATATGTGCCTGCTCAGCAGCCCATCGCACTCCTGTTTGGGGGCCAGCCCACAGCACTGCTTGGCCTCTGCTTGTTTGTAGGACACGAGGGAAGACAGAGTAGGCCTGTATCTTTCCCCACCCCTTTCCTGTCATCCGTGTTAGACCCCATTCCTTCTCTGGAGTCCTTGGCCTCTGTCACTGCTACATGGGATACTGAGATGAAAGTCAGATGATGTGCAGAAATGTTTCAATGCTAATCAGAATAAAAGCCACCGGGCCTCATCACCATGTGCACTAACACCAGTATGTAAGTGCAACTTTTCCTAGAATGAATTATGGAAAACATTTCAGCAGGCAGTAAGCAAGTCCCCAAGTGGGAGGACAATGATCCTGTTTCCAGTACTATAGGAATTCTCATCTCTAGTCTTTCCATAAGCACAAAGTTTTCCCTATCCTTTATGGGGTTGGCTCAGTCAAGGTGGTAGGTAGCACAATTAAGATGTCAGGGTGTCAGGGACAGTCCTAAGAAGGAGGGTCAGGGTCTTAAAACATGAGGGAGGGGCATTCCTGGTTCATGGAGTCAGGTGGATCTTGTGTGTGAGGGCATCCCCAAGACCACCCTCAGTTTCAATGACTAACAAGCAGGACTCACAGCACTCAGAAAAGCTTTTATATTCAAAGTAATGGTTTATTACAACAAAAGATTATGAATTAAAATCAGCAGAGCGAAAAGTTGCATGAGGCCAAGTCCAGGAGAAACCAGCCATGAGCTCCCAGCTGTCCCCTTGCAGTAATGTCACATCAATGTGCTTAATTTTTCCAGCAACAGTTTGTGACAACATGTGCAAAGTGTTATCGACCAGGGAGCTCACTCAGACCTTGGTGCCCAGGGTGTTTATTGGGGTCAGTCACACAAGCGTGCAGTGCCTGCATAACTGACCTCAGCTACTCGGACTCCAGTCCCCAAGGGCAAAAAGCATGAATCACACTGTTGGCTTACACTATCTAATTACACCAGTGCCTGTGTGGCCCAAGGCCTCAGGACCCAATCCTGAAAACAGGTCTTTCTGGGGAATAGAGCAACCCAGGGCTGCTGAGCTAACCTTTCCTGCACACGTTCCCACAGTCAAGACACTGGAAGGCTTTTGCCATGTGATAGCATTTCTTGCCCCTCATCCTTCCAAAAATGGCATTCTCTGTACCTTCCACGCAGGGTCATTGTGATTTATAACAATAACCACTGAACTATTTTGAAAAGCAGCAAGCCATCTACAGCAAGGATACTTTTATTATTACTATTTTCATAATCACTAATGTCATATTATATTATTATCATAATCACTATTATGCAGTGGGCAGGGGCATGGGAATGAGCCCTTAATGTTTCATTGTGATCTCAGAACAGGTCACAGGTGCCTTTTTTTCAGATTCTGAAGACAAAGACAACTTCAGAGCAGTGTGTCTCCACCCCACACAGCATTTAACCTTGTCCTTGCTTCTGTCTCTCCCTCTCCCTGGCAGTGGCTCAGAAACCCAGGCCCCCAGCATGAGAAGCGGACTCTGTTTGGAGACATGGTGTGCTTCTTGTTCATAACCCCACTGGCCACCATCTCGGGCTGGCTGTGCCTGCGGGGCGCCGTGGACCACCTGCACTTTAGTAGTCGGCTCGAAGCCGTTGGACTGATTGCACTCACTGTCGCACTCTTCACTATTTACCTCTTTTGGACACTAGTAAGTATGGCCCATGGCCCGGCAGTTCAGGCCCGCTGGACGCGGCGGCCCCACTGCCTTCTTTCTAGCATGTCCGCCTTACCCACCCTGTGGAAGACAGACCTTCTGATACGGGCAGAAGCGTGATTGGGTTTAATACTGTGTATATGTGTATGTGTGTAAAATATGTGTGCTGCAGGGAAGAGTAGATGAACTAAAGAAAAAGCCCCAGCTTCTCAGAGTCCATCAGTCCAAGACATACCCCTGGACATTTCTCCCGTCTGACTCCTTCTGTGGCGAGGCCCGGCGTTCCTTCCTCTTCTTTACATTCCTCCCGTTTGCGGGCATGGTAGTAGGTTATGAATGAGGCACTTGGCCCCTGTTGCTGTCACCACCTGCACAGATCCTGAATCCTCCTGCTGGCTGTTTTCTTCTTATCTCCTGACACAGCCTAAAGTCTTTGTTGGACGTGGAGCTGCACTTTGCCTGACGATTATTCTGCCTATTGGGTACTGACTCTGCTGCCCATAAAAACACTAATTCATCTCACTGAGAAGCTGCCAACAAGGGAAAACCACTTCCCAACAAGTGTCCCCACTGTATATGAAAAAGAGTGCTTAAACATCTCTGCTTTTGTATTCTTTTAACTCATGAAGTAAGCTGACTGCTCGGGCACCAGTTGGCAGCACCCACAAAGGGCAGCATTAGATCTCTCTTTACGCTTCCCTTGGGGGCCTGCAGGGAAGGACGTCACACTGTCCTCTAGCTTCAGAAACCAGGCCCCTGCTTCTAGGCATTACTCTCCCTTGCCGGCTCATTTCTAATCTGAGCACGTTCCGTTGTTATTCGATATGTATTTCCTGTCTAAAGGGTGCCATTCCTGTGTCCCACAGCAGTGTCAGCTCACGGAAGCTTCTAGCACTCACACTTCTCCCTTGCTCTGTCTCGCAAACCCTCCCACCAGCTGCCACTGCTACCAGGGGGACCACCCCACCCTGCTCCCTTCCCCCTCTCCATCCAGTGGCTCTTCCAGGTCTGTGCCTCCCCTCTGGCGCGAAGGTTCAGACAGTAGGTGGAGGACACAGTTGAGTCTCAGGAGGAGGGACGTGCCCTGAGCCTCTGTAAATAAGGGGCGTGCTGTTCCGAGGTCCGAGCTGCCGCGCATCTAGACTCCAAAGGCCCGTCTAGACCCAAGATTCAGCATTCCCAATGGCTGTGTAACATCAAACACGTACCTGACCGCTCTGATAAGCCTTACCCTTACTCAGAAATGGGGGCAAGGATTGATCACCTCTGGGCCAAAGGGCTCTTCAAAGGACCAGGTGGGGAAACATGCGCATCATCTATCCGCACCGAGCACAGGCAAGGTAGGGGGCAGGGAGAGAGGGGTGCTTCATTCCTCTGGCTTCTCTGCTCCCTGACCCAGGCTGCCCCCCAGCCCCCCACAAGATGTAAAGCAGCTGGAGGGAAAGGAAGGCATTTCTCCCACGCAGTCAAATGTGCTGTGAACCCCACAATACCTTGGTGAATCCAGACCAATGCCTTCCCAGCTAAATGCCCTGCCCGGTGTCCCCAGCAGGAGCCCTAACTCAGAAGCTGCAGCCCTTGGAAACTGCCCCGTGGCAGAAACCCATTGTAAACGAGCTGTCAAGCCTGAGGAGAATATGCTGTGAAAATGTCTTAGATAAACAAACACATTGTTGTCCACCCTCCCTGCTCCTCACAGGAGCTTCCTGGAAGGCCCCTGCTGGCCCTCCAGCCCTGACTGCGGGTCTGGGGTTCCTGGAAGCTGCTGTGTGCGGACATAGGACTGATTGCACTCACTGTCGCACTCTTCACTATTTACCTCTTTTGGACACTAGTAAGTATGGCCCATGGCCCGGCAGTTCAGGCCCGCTGGACGCGGCGGCCCCACTGCCTTCTTTCTAGCATGTCCGCCTTACCCACCCTGTGGAAGACAGACCTTCTGATACGGGCAGAAGCGTGATTGGGTTTAATACTGTGTATATGTGTATGTGTGTAAAATATGTGTGCTGCAGGGAAGAGTAGATGAACTAAAGAAAAAGCCCCAGCTTCTCAGAGTCCATCAGTCCAAGACATACCCCTGGACATTTCTCCCGTCTGACTCCTTCTGTGGCGAGGCCCGGCGTTCCTTCCTCTTCTTTACATTCCTCCCGTTTGCGGGCATGGTAGTAGGTTATGAATGAGGCACTTGGCCCCTGTTGCTGTCACCACCTGCACAGATCCTGAATCCTCCTGCTGGCTGTTTTCTTCTTATCTCCTGACACAGCCTAAAGTCTTTGTTGGACGTGGAGCTGCACTTTGCCTGACGATTATTCTGCCTATTGGGTACTGACTCTGCTGCCCATAAAAACACTAATTCATCTCACTGAGAAGCTGCCAACAAGGGAAAACCACTTCCCAACAAGTGTCCCCACTGTATATGAAAAAGAGTGCTTAAACATCTCTGCTTTTGTATTCTTTTAACTCATGAAGTAAGCTGACTGCTCGGGCACCAGTTGGCAGCACCCACAAAGGGCAGCATTAGATCTCTCTTTACGCTTCCCTTGGGGGCCTGCAGGGAAGGACGTCACACTGTCCTCTAGCTTCAGAAACCAGGCCCCTGCTTCTAGGCATTACTCTCCCTTGCCGGCTCATTTCTAATCTGAGCACGTTCCGTTGTTATTCGATATGTATTTCCTGTCTAAAGGGTGCCATTCCTGTGTCCCACAGCAGTGTCAGCTCACGGAAGCTTCTAGCACTCACACTTCTCCCTTGCTCTGTCTCGCAAACCCTCCCACCAGCTGCCACTGCTACCAGGGGGACCACCCCACCCTGCTCCCTTCCCCCTCTCCATCCAGTGGCTCTTCCAGGTCTGTGCCTCCCCTCTGGCGCGAAGGTTCAGACAGTAGGTGGAGGACACAGTTGAGTCTCAGGAGGAGGGACGTGCCCTGAGCCTCTGTAAATAAGGGGCGTGCTGTTCCGAGGTCCGAGCTGCCGCGCATCTAGACTCCAAAGGCCCGTCTAGACCCAAGATTCAGCATTCCCAATGGCTGTGTAACATCAAACACGTACCTGACCGCTCTGATAAGCCTTACCCTTACTCAGAAATGGGGGCAAGGATTGATCACCTCTGGGCCAAAGGGCTCTTCAAAGGACCAGGTGGGGAAACATGCGCATCATCTATCCGCACCGAGCACAGGCAAGGTAGGGGGCAGGGAGAGAGGGGTGCTTCATTCCTCTGGCTTCTCTGCTCCCTGACCCAGGCTGCCCCCCAGCCCCCCACAAGATGTAAAGCAGCTGGAGGGAAAGGAAGGCATTTCTCCCACGCAGTCAAATGTGCTGTGAACCCCACAATACCTTGGTGAATCCAGACCAATGCCTTCCCAGCTAAATGCCCTGCCCGGTGTCCCCAGCAGGAGCCCTAACTCAGAAGCTGCAGCCCTTGGAAACTGCCCCGTGGCAGAAACCCATTGTAAATGAGCTGTCAAGCCTGAGGAGAATATGCTGTGAAAATGTCTTAGATAAACAAACACATTGTTGTCCACCCTCCCTGCTCCTCACAGGAGCTTCCTGGAAGGCCCCTGCTGGCCCTCCAGCCCTGACTGCGGGTCTGGGGTTCCTGGAAGCTGCTGTGTGCGGACATCAGCCTCTGGGACCCAGCAGGCCAAGGGGGCAGCACCTCCTCTCTGGGAGCTCTGGCAGGGCCGCCCCACAGTCATCCCTGTGCACGGCAGCCCACGCGCAGACATCCAGGGAGCTAGACGAGAAGTAAGTCTGGGTAAGCGTGAGGAAGTTGTCCGTGGAGGGACTTGTATGGGCCCCAGTCTGGAGGTGGGTGAACCGAGGAGCAGGTGCAGGGACCCCAGGAAGCCCTTGCCTTCCTACCACCACTCAGCAAACGCTACGCCTGAACTGTTGAAATCTCAGCTCCAAGTGAACACATGCTCTGTCCCCCTGGCGGACTCCCAGTCCCAGAGTTAATCATCGCAGTCCTCATTATAAAGGGGGGACTTCCAATAGGAGAGGACACTGCGGGCTGGCTACACACACTGCAGATGGCTGGGGCTGCCCGGAACGGCCAGGTGACCCGCGGGTGCCTGTCAGTCCCTCCACTGCACACAGCCTTCCAGAGTGCGATCCCAGAGCAGTGAGCTGGGCCCTCTTCTGCAAAGGCAGCTTTCCAAGCCCTGGCCCCTTCAACATGCCTCAGTCACACCATAACCTCCAGAAAGGGCAGGATAAAAACACCTGATGAGAAGGTTTCCCAAAGCCTGCCATGACTCACCAGCAAAACTTCACCCACAGCCTGCCACCTCCCCAGCAGGGAAAGGTGGATGTGAATATACTCTGGCCCTCTCTGCCATCCACATGCCCACAGCCAGACAGACCTTGCCCAGGAGAGGAGATTAATAAATATCCTTTGGGTGAGGAAATGAATAGGCTTCAAGAAACCAGCTCCATAAGACGAGGTATTTTTAGAATAGTGACCCTCTTACTCCCTTCCTGCTCTCTCCTTAAAACCTCAGAAATTCAAGAAATATCTGAACAAGGTTCCCAATATTACTATTACCGTCGCTTCTTTTTGGTTTATGTTAGTTTTTTCTCACTGCCTCTCCTCTGCATCAAACCTATGTTCCTATTCGGTGCCATGGCAGGAAGTGTCTTGGAGTTCCTGGAGACGGGGTGGCCCTAACCCAGGGCAGGTGCCAATGCACATCCCCTCTGCATTGTACCCAGCTTCCTTTACTTGTCCTGATAAAAAGTCATCTTCATATGCTGCTTTCTTCTTACTGATTGAATTTGCCTGCAGACTGTGGTGGTTAACAGCAATTAAGACAGATGAATGCAGAATAAGATCTCATTTGTTTATCTGAACAAGTGGGCTGATTTTTGTGCTTCCTAGCCAAGGAACCGGGAGACCTGCTAAGTCATTGCCTCCCTGTGTTCCTGGAAGTGGCGCATCTCAGCCTGGGAAGTACGTGCCAGTCACCTGGAGACCTTGTTAAAAGCATGCTCTGATTCCTTAGGTCTGGGTGGAGCCCCAAATTCTGATATTCTGACAAGCTCCCAGGTGATGCAGCCTGCCTCCCACAGCCACACTGAGGGCACAGGAAATAGCCCGGCGTTTTTTTCTTTTTTTCCCTCTGTCTCCCTTGTAGCTAAGGAGCATCACAAAATTGTTCTTCTTTTTCATATTTAACATATCAAAAATAACAGGCCAAGAACACTAACACATATGAGGCGCTGTGTGAAGTACTTGTTTATGCATTATCTCAGATACCAGTCTTCACATGTTGCAAACGAGGTGACTAAAGCTTGGGAACGGCACACAAGCTTTGCAGTCACAGAACCGCTAGGTGCATGGTGGGGATTTGAGCCCACGTGCCTGGCTCCAGGGCTGCAGCCAGCTCCCTGTTCCATGGAAGGCTCTGCCTGCTTGCATGCACAGCTGCCGCTCCGCTCACCAGTGCCGAGCACACAGTGTTCTTACCATCATGGATGAA